ATGTTGTCTAAAAATGTGACCACTATTTCGGCGCGCCCTCTATTCAAAAGATACATCAGGGGGTTGCCAGAAAGGGGATGTGCCCCCTTCTGTTTAGGAGTATGAAGGGGGCTGCAGTCCCCCTCATCGCCACGAAAATTTTTGGACTTGTGAGAGGCTTAAAGAGACATCAGATTGATCATAAGGTAACGTGTAAGCAACGCTGAAAAGCCTTTGACTCTATCTCAATCCATTGTGAAGTTGCAGCACTTTGAAATCAATTTTGAAATCAATTTTGATGGTAAAAATCAAAGCAAAAAAGTGTTTTTTTGGCAATTTTGAGATGCCCCCTCGTTGCCATGGTAACAAGAAATTTAAGACTGAGCACATTGGTACAAAGTCAATGGTCCAGTCAACATTTTTGCCAAGTTTGATTAATAGTGAAACAGCCATTTTTCACACAGTAATGGGTTGAGAAAAATTTGAACAGATGATGCCTTTATTATTTATGATCACTTGTGATTGATTTTCGACAGTGAAACATATTCTTTGTGTGAATAATTTTAAGTTTTTTTTTTAAACAGGTTAATTGATCTTTTAAACTCCATTTACAAAATAATGATATTCATCAATATCTTTAGTACTCGTCTTTTCATCCTAAATCATGTTAAAACGGTATGTTACCTTACGGTTATGGGGCGGTTTATAGATCGACACAACATCCGGTATTATTCCACCATTTTCAAATCAGACAGAAGGTTTCGGATACTGTTGAATTAATAATCCTGAATAATCTGAATGCGAATGACTTCTTATCAAAGATTGGTTGTTTTAATTAATGGATTAATTTTCCTCCACCTTTTACTTTCAATCCCTCCTTTCCTTATTAATACATTACATTCACGTTTTAAAATACATTGAAATTCCTTATGGAATTAAGAACAGCTGGGGTTCTGGGTCAACTGCCCTTGATACAAGGCAGGCCTTAATTGTTGAATTTACAAGTCGCTTGAATTTGTTTTCTTAATGGCATAATAAATATAATAACATTCTTTTTATCAATTTATCACATGTTTTCTAGTAAACAGGGAAATTACATATTAATAATTTCATAGTAAGATTATAAAATATATTTTCGTTGTATCCGGACTATATCTGAATGCCAATGAAAAGAATGTGCCTTAAAAAAGTGGAAATATCGTCAGAAATTACTAAATTTATTTAATTCGTTGAAAAGAATAATAAAATGTTCGCCAATGGCTCTTGCATATTATTTAATTCAACTCGTTCAATAAATTCAGCGTAAAACCTGCACTTATTCAATACTATATCCTCCCTTTATTACTTTAGGTTTGTTTAGAAAATGCCACTGCAGCTATTATCCTGCAATAAATATATTTTTTAATATATTTAACAGGCCGGGATTCATCGAAAGTACCTTTCTAGAAATTTGCAAAACAATTAACAATAAGATGTTTGAAGAAAATGTTGACGGACAAATGAATGTATGAACAGACTGTGTGTTATCACAATAGCCCAACTTGAGCAGTTTGTGCTTTGCAATGGAAATTAGAACAAACCTCGTGTAAGTAGAACACAATAAAACCTTTTCCGTCAGATGGCATTTCGTAGTTTGCAATGTTTGTGTTGTTCTCTTTAACGAGCTGCAATAAAGAATGATTATTTATTAATAAAAAAGTATCGTAAACATATTAATCGTTTTCTTACGAACCAAACTTTCAGAACTGTAAAACAAACTATTTATATAGTTATCTGCCATGTACAAGCAAATCTTTATTAATGAACTTTCTTACAACCGTTTATTAGTTTTCCTAAATCAACATGAAGGCATGTCAAGAGACAGTGTTGTGTCAACTATTTGAAAAACTAATTTAAATCAAAAGCATCAGGACAAGGTGAACCCGTATCACAAACAGCAGAATAACATAGTCAATTTGTTTATACAAATTTATTTATGTTCAATTATGTTAGAAGCTATAAGCTTATTGAAACACTTTCGAGTCCGTTCCTGGAACCATCTAGCATTCAGCAATAAATGTAAAGTTTCATGCTAAAGAGAAAAAACGTCTTGTCCCTGGTTTCAAATCCACGCGGCCAACAATACTTCAATTGCTAGTCCGACGCGTAAACCACTCTACCAAGTCGCCACTGAACTTAAATTGTTTAACACTTTACTCGTAAAAGATAAACATATACTTATTCATAGTCATGAAAACACCTCACTTGAGATATTTCATATTGCTTTTGATATTACTGACATATGAATACGCAAGACATGTTCATTGTGGACATGACGGAAAAGCATGTATTGTCGAACCAAAATAAGATAGTTTCACTTTATAGTTACTCTAAAAATCGTATACTAAGTTTGACTGACATGGATCATGAAATTCAATGAAAACATCACGCTACTGACACCTAGAACCAGCGTGAGAATTATTTAGTATTCAAGAATAATTTGGAATGACAAAATATTTACCTTTTCTATATCAGACTTGATCACTTCAACACCTGTTTCTAGTCCAAACTTCACAATAGACATACCATATGTTTTATCATTTTTAGAGCTACAAAAATACAAAAATCAACAAAATACAACATCTACTTCACAATTGTGCCATCAATGACGACTTGATTGACAGAATAATTAAAATATCTTTACAAACTTTACAGAATATGTCTCAAATACCGGTATACCTGTTAGTTATCGTTTCAGTAAATTTATATTCTTATGATTTCACAGTGGCGCATGGTTATCAAAATAAAATTTCACTTCAGCTAATCTAGAAATGGATTCGAACTTTGAATGTAAATATAACGTCCCATTGTAAGTAAAATGTACAGAAAACTGCAATAATACAAATTTTTATCATACTCCATGTACAAATATAACTTAAAACGACAATTTTTATCAAAATTGATATTTAAATTTGGAATTCATAATGCACGGAGGGTCAACGGACAACTTTGCTCAGCATAGTCTCAATATGATCTTAACACTTTCTGTATTACTTTAAAAAACAATTCATAAATGACCTTAACTGAAAATAAAATAAAATACTATAAAATGAATGTAACCATTTTACAAATACATTTATTTATCATTTTTAATACCGAATTTAAAATGTCCGACTCATGCACATTAACATCTTGTATATAGTTTAAACGTCAATTTTAAACACAGTTTTTGGGGTTTATGTGAGCAAAGAAGCACAGTTGTTGGGGTTAATGTGAGCAAACAGTCCACCTAACCGACTTTCCTGTATAACTTACAAGTAATCACCAACTACTAGCTAGTAGCCGATTACTTATCCATCATGATTTCTGTGGTGATAGAAAATGACTATAAGACTCAATGTTCGAGATAAAATTTAACCCATTAATTTCTTCTCGCCCGAAGATCTAACCAGCGGCCTCTGGATAACGGGGAATCTGACAGCGATAGCTAAAGACACATGTTTTATCTGGTCAGCTTTAAATATAATGTGCTTCGTTTGAAAAATAAATATATTTTTGTATGCTTACTTCGCAATAAGCTTATACAGAAAATGCTTACCTTATGCTGAAACGAATGCATTTTTTCTGAACTGTCGCACGAACACGACGGTTGCCTGCCTCTCTTTTCTTTCTCCCAAAGTTACTGTTTATCTTAGGATCTATTTCTGGCGGATCTCCAAAATTATCGCTGTCGTAGTCATCATAATCGTTATCGCCCGCATCACACTGGCCACATATATCACAGTTTCTGTAAACCAGAGATAAATAATTTATATTTGAAGAGGTCAGTGCAAGATCGTGCAATATTGAAATATTTTGATGATGGGTATGTTTAAAAAAGATTTCTGTAGTTTAGGTACCTTCTTGCACTGAACCTTTATTTACATATCTTTGTATATCAGTATAGTCAAATAGAGATATCAAACTCTTTTTTCAGAAATAAATTGAAGTCAATTTATTCAGGAGTGTGTGAGGCGAATCTTATCCAAATGAGCTTGTCACACATTTGAAACCAGAAACAATAGAATACACAGAGGAGAGCTGTGCAATAAAGCAAGATTGAAATCTTTCAAATTGATTCATTACATTCATGAATTGTACTGGAGGAAATACAGACCTATTCACAAGCTGTTTGCTATTCTATCATCCCTATATAATTATTTGAAGAAATAACCAAGAAATGTTTTGAAAATACACTTACATTCAAAGAAATCGTTTCAACGTTGCAGTTGAACATTGACTACACAAATACATTAAACGTTACATACAGTGATTCATTAGAATTTCAAAATCGTTTCTTTTCGGCTAATAACATTAATTCAATTTATTAAGATAAACTTATTTAAAATATCACTTTGATAAGTGCGTGACACGAATCTTATCTGATTGAATATGTCACACATTTAAAACAGGACAGTAGAAACAACAGAATACGGATAAAGTTATGTGTTTCACATTTTCATTAAAGTTATTCTTAATTGATAGCATTGATATATTTGTTGTATTTTATATACAAATATACACAGTTAAATTTTTGAAAAGGTTTAACTAATAAACGAAAATCGAAAAATGGTTTATGTTTTTACCTTGATTTTGCCAAATTGATATCAATCGGTAGATCTTCCACGTCTTGAACATCAATATCAGTGATGGTAAAGGGACAAGATTCTTCCGCAGTGGCTGGTCTGTTATAACGGAGATCAATTGACATAACTGCACTTCCAGTTCCCTGAACTTTTACCGTAAGTTTGTTATCTTTGGTCTCAACAGGTAACTAAAGAAGAAAGGAAAAAAAGTTTTATTTACAAGGCCATCTAGTTTAAAGATATATTAAGCTCATTCTTAGGAAAAAATTTCATTCACATAAATGTTTTGAAATCTATGAAATTCTTACTGAATATGTCTAATTTGAATAAAAGAACGAATAAGCTCTGTATGGGAAGCTACATTACCTATAACAGGTCAAGTAAAGTTGGCATTTTCATAAAAAAATATGAAAGTTTTTATAATGACATTATATATTTATATTGTGACCACATGTAGTGTGTAGAGTTTAAAACACAACATATCTACTTTGTGTGACGACTAAACATGTTAACTTAATATGTATTAAGAAACTTTTAGCAATAATCAATATTTTTATATGAAATTTGAGCGTTATATATAATTAAGCAAACTGAATATCAGCAATATTTCATATTATTCCTTAATGTTTTCATTTATCTTTAAAGGTTTTTTTCGAACAGAAAACGACTTAGTTGACATACACGCCACATATTTTCATTTTATTTTCTATGTCTTCTACTTTTCTAAAGAATATTATTTTTTACTTTGATTTGTTCTCACACGCACGCACGCATGCGTCAATACTGCTTAAGTCACATAGTAACTTTCCAGATTTTAAGTACCCGTCCATTTACAATTTAGAAAGTGATTAATATAAGTTGCAAGAACTTATTTCGCAAATGAGCTTAAATAAATATGTTTAAACCATTTACAATACTTCGGACATGCATACCATAATCATGAGTAGGACCACAGATCTTCAAAGAGCTAGCTACTTATTCCATATTAAGGATTCATCACATTGAAACGATTCCTATCCACAACGACTAGAGGCAAGTAAATGGGATTTAATGCCATTTACTACTAGTCCACTGTCAACATTTTGAAAATATGTCTTACCTTTGGTATAATTTGTTGAACAATAGCATTTTCTTTAGTCACTTTTACTTCTTTTATTACCGATTGGTCTGCGAAAAATTTGACCACTAGATCAATATCTGGAGAATAGGTAACGATGCTGTACTGAGACAAAGCTTGCAGGCCGACCACTGTATCCTAGACAATTGACAAAAACATTCAACAATAAATTTATTGTGCAAATATTTTGTAAAGGATATAAAAATGATGCTTATATTCATTTGACGACCACAATTATAGCAATAACAAGGTATTACACAAGGTTAATCCCTTCGCCTTGAAGAAGAAACATAAATGTTATTACTTAGTGAGAGGATATTTTTAAAAAGCCGTAAAATTAAGGTCATGATACTAATGCTAAGTACAGTTTTCAAGTATAACAAAAAGAGTAGGTTAGTATAACTAATAATATGTGATTTAATTAATCTTGTTTTATTTATGTCAGTGTATTAACCCATTATTTCATAAAGACGTTTTGTCATGCATATTCACCCCCCCCCTTTTGAGGCATCAAATGGTGAAAAAATGCTCTCTTTATAATCCCAAATATCTGTTCTCGCTTGAGAAATGATTTTAAAAAGTGTCCACCCTTTCGGCGCCGTCGCCTATCAAATAGATTCATCAGGGGGAGCCAGAGGGGGATGTGCCCTTTCTGTTTAAGGGTTTGAAGAGGGACAGAAGCCCCCCTGATCGCCAAAGATTTAAGACTTGTGACAGGCTAAAATTGACCTCAGATCGAGCAGAAGGTAACGTGTAATCAACGCTGAGAAGCCTTTGACTCTATCTTAATCCATTGAGAATTTGCAGCACTTCAGTCAGTTTTGATGGAAAAATCAAAGCAAAATAGTGATTTTTGGCAATTTTAAGATGTCCCGTCGCTGTCATGGTAACATGAAATTTAATGGTAACAGGAAATTTAAGATTGAGCATGCCGTTACAAAGGCTACTGTCCAGTTAACATTTGTACCAAGTTTGATGAATATTCAAGAATATTTAATAATTTCATAGCAATTTGAACTTGTAGCAGGAGGCTTTCGAATGAAATAGCCATTTTTCACAAAATTGCTTATGCAGTAATGGATTAAGTTTGAAGAAAATCAATCGCTCTAAAATATATAAAAAGGGGAATAACTTTAAAAGAAGGCAAGGTTGAGTTATTGTTCTTACACACTGTACTTAATATCAATGTGCTTTGACAGTGTCTTAAGTTTGCAGAACATCCGTCATATTTTAGGAGTTATGCGTCCGACAGTTTTCGTGTAAATCTGATAAAGGGAAATAACTCTAAAACTAAGCAAGGCAGATTTATTGAACTTCAACACTGCAATTTCTTGCGATGTGTATGAAGTTTATAAAAATCACCTTCTTTGGAGTTGTGCTCCGGACTAAATTTCACAAGTTAACCTGGTAACGGGAAACAACACTTAAAGTAGGCAAGGTAGGGTTATTGTTATTGCACACTGCGCTTCCTACGTATGTGTTATGCCAGTGTATAAAGGTTTGAAGAGAATTCCCCAAGTACTTTTGGAGATATGGTTTTGACAAAGTATGCCAAGTAAATCTGATAAAGGGGAATTACTTTAAAAGTAGGTAAGGGAGAGTTATTGTTCTTGAACACTGCACTTATTTCGTCCATGTGCTCTGTCAGTGTATAAAAATTGAATAAAATCGCTCAAGAAATTTAAGAGTTCTGCTCCGAAATAAATTGGAACGGAGGCATTAACGCACGTATGCACGGACGAAGATCCTTTCTAATTCTAATAAAATATAAATAATAAGGAAGAAGAGGAAGAGGAAAGTAATATCCATGATGATGATAAATATAGTAGTAGTGATAATAATAATGACGATGATGATGATGATGATGGTGATGATGATATTGATAATACTAGTAGTAATAATGATGATGATGACGATGATGATGATGATAAAAGTAGAAATTATAATGATAAAGATGTGATATTTGTGATATAAAGAAAAAGAATAACTAAATTAATCAAAATAGTAAGATGAACGAAATAGAAAATTATATATTCACAGCCGAATGATGAACATTATGATAAGGATGTGATTTCCGAAATCAAAGTTACCTGCGTTGTTCTAAATGATCCTGTGCCATCTCTTTGAGAGGTAAGCCAACTTACAATTGATGAACTTGTTTTTATGTCCCGGGATTGCAACATTGCAAGAAGAGCGTATGCAGTTGTTTCAACAGAATGAGCGTTTGCTGGTTTACCTCCCGGGATTCCCCAGAATGTTCCCTCTACAAAATACCAGTTTTTACACATTTATGACACCACCGAATCCAATTACTATACAAATTAAAAGTTATGATAGAATGAAGAAAATTACTATTACTAATTTCTAAAACAGGATAAAAATATGACATAAGAACATTAATCATGAATTAATGAACAGGTGTTTTTGCTTAATAACACTTGATATGAAGTTTTAAATCCGTCAATGTTTTAGGTGAAGTCAGTAGTTTAATTTTTTAGGTCTTATTATACACAAACTCTGGAATCCAAATTAAAAGAAAACTTACCCACAAAAAAGTGAAATAGAATAACGGGTATTAATTAATTCAATGTTACAATAAAGTAAAAAGACCCAACAAGAATAAGAAAAGACGACTAGAAAAACTTACCCCTATCTTTTCTTTTAATGTCATGTAAGTACTGCAAAAACTTATCTGTCTTTTTGCTGTCTGACAAGGCTAAAGCATATGTACTTATTGCTAACAGGTAAGGATTTTTCTTTAACATTTTATCGGAAAGATCTTCAAGGAACTTAATTGCCCTGTTGACGGTTGCACTAACACGCTAGAAAAAAAGAAAACGACATCCAAAAAATATTTCTTCTTGGTTAGTTTTCACTTGTACGGAAACGTTAAAGGGCCTTCATTTAGTGCGATCCTGGTGTGTGAGACGACTGAATTTTGTTCGATTTGATCAGATGATTAACACAAATGAATTCATTTTTTTCACAAAGACTATACCATTTTTTTTTGTCATTCTAAGTCACTTTTCTCAAAATGCTTGAAGCTTACTGGCAAGGTGAATTTTTGTCAAAACGACAAAATAAATTTAATGTTTTATAAAAGATAACTTTTCGCCTAGACAAACTATAAAGCATATCGTAAAAAGTTCGGCAAAATAAACCGTTTTTTAATATTTGTGAATAAAATAAATCTATTGTGTTAAAACGTCTATAACTAAATCGAATTAAAAACAGTCGACTTGTAAACACATCATCATCTCACTTTTTGGAGACCCTTTTACGTTTCCGTACAATTGATTTATTCTCGAATTCTAATCGGCAGGCCAGAAGCAGTTAGGTAAACACTTCAAGGTAAGTCAGATGTGAAAATCATGTCAAAAAGAGTACCATCGAGAACAATGATAACAAAAGTAAGCAAGAGGAACCTCCCAGCGGCTGCTCCGTTCGAATGTTTATTTCTGAAGCAAACCAAAGTCGGAGAGGTAATATGTGTGAAGAATTATCATAGAATACAAAATATAAGTTTAATTTTATATTTGACACTGAGAGTCAATGTCAAATTTTACATATGAATTAATCAGCACGTGTCCTTGGTCATAAGTGTTCTTTCGTCTGAGAATAAATCCATAAATAAAAAACAATTTAAGCAAAGTTCAATAATTGACTTGAAGGCTATGCTTTGAATTCCATTGTTCCTTCTTTAAAAAAAAAACACACACAGAAACTGACATTGTTTTAATGACACTATATTTTTATATTGTGACCACCTTTAGTGTGTAAAATTTTAAACATAACATATCTACTTTATGTGAATAAAACATGTTTATTTTAAATTTGCTAAAACACTGTGTAGCAATTATCAAAATTTTCTAATATAAAATTTGAGCATAGTATATCTTTATAAATCACTCCTTATCTATTTGTTTATTTCTTAGAGTAATTTAATTCAAAACTACTTTTAAATAATTAAATAAAACAAGTGTACATAATTAGTATAAAATATGAAAATTATTGAAACAAACACAACACTTACAGAAGATCTATTACCACATTCTTGTAAGGTAATCAGTACAAAGGCTGTTAAGGTAGGATCTCTTTCATTGATTTGTCCCTGTTTAGAATAAATAAACAAACCATATCAACGATTAGCTAGTTTTCATTTTCATAAACAATAAACATAATTGTATAGCTTTCATTTTCATCTTATAAACAGTAAACATGATTTTTCATGTTCATTTTATTCACTATAAACATAGCTTTCATTTTCATTTATGAACTATATACAAAGGTTTTGTTTTCATCGCAAAAATAATAAACATAGCTTGCCTTTTCTTTTTATGAACTATAAACATAGCTTTGATTTTCATTTCATGAATTATAAACATAGCTTTGATTTTCATCTCCGAAACGAAAAACAAAGCTTTCATTTTTATTCAATAAACAATAAACATAGATTTCATTTCAATTTTAAGAACTATAAACATAGCTTTCATTTTAATCTTAGAAGCGATAAACAAAGCTTTCATTTCACAAACAATAAACAAAGCTTTCATTTTAATTTTATAAACTAACAATAAACATAGCTTTCATTTTCATCTCGGCAATCATAAACAAAGCTTTCATTTTCATTTGATAAACAGTAAACATAGCTTTCATTTTAATATTATGAACTACATGTGGAAACATATATTTCATTTTCATTTAATATACAATAAACAAAGCATTCATTTTCATTTAATAGTAAAAACTCTAAAAACCGGACGCTGTCTGGACTTGACCAAAAGTCCGGTTTTCAGAGGATTCCGGTTTTCAGAGGTTTTACACATTTATTGATAATTATAATGTGTTTGAACAATGACTTTGTTCAAACATTTTGTATTCATTTTTCAACCCTTTTGTCTAAGTCATATTTTAATTTCTTTTTGCAATAAATGTCTTTTAGTAATTTTATTATGCAAATCCATGAATATAATTCTGAAAATCAGAAATTAAAACAACACATTGTCTTAAATATATCCTTTTAATTGGTTTTTGAAATATGTAATTAATGTAATTTAGTATTACTATTTTTGCATTTAATTAATATTCAAACAAAGATAACTTCAAGGTCAAAATTTTAAGCAAAACAGGAATCATTTAACAATATTTCCCCAATTCTTTAAGACATTTTATATTTAAACAAGAGGGCCATGATGGCCCTGGGGTCGCTCACCTGTACATAGGCCCCCAGGGCGGGGCCAGTTTAAACCAAATGGCTTTTATTTGAACAAACTTGGTAGACACCCATTAGAACATGTTTCATGCTAAAAATCTTAGCTCTAGCTCTTTGGGTTCTTTAAAAGAAGATTTTTAAGTTTTTACTCTATGTATATAGGGAAAATCAATAACCCCTGGGGCGGGGCCAATTTTGACCCCAGGGCTTTTATTTGAACAAATTTGGTAAACGCCCATTAGAAGATGTGTCATGCTAAATATCTTAGCTCTAGCTCTTTGGGTTCTTTAAAAGAAGATTTTTAAGTTTTAACTACATGTATATAGGGAAAATCAATGACCCCTGGGGCTGGGCAAATTTTGACCCCAGGGCTTTTATTTGAACAATCTTGGTAGACATTCATTAGAAGATGTTTCATGCTAAATATCTTAGCTCTACATCTTTGGGTTCTTTAAAAGAAGATTTTTTAAGTTTTTACTATATGCATATAGGGAAAATCAAAGACCCCCTGGGGCGGGGCCAATTTTGACCCCAGGGCTTTTATTTGAACAATCTTGGTAGACACCCATTAGAACATGTTTCATGCTAAATATCTTAGCTCTAGCTCTTTGGGTTCTTTTAAAGAATTTTTTTTAAGTTTTTACTTTATGTATATAGGGAAAATCAATGAACCCCTGGGGCGGGGCCAATTTTGACCTCAGGGCTTTTATTTGAACAAACTTGGTAGAGATCCATTAGAACATGTTTCATGTCAAATATCTAAGCTCTAGCTGTTTGGGTTTTTTAGAAGAAGATTTTTTTAAGTTTTTACTATATGCATATAAGGAAAATCAATGACCCCCTGGGGCGGGGCCAATTTTGACCCAAGGGTTTTTAATTTGAACAATCTTGGTAGACACTCATTAGAAGATGTTTCATGCTTAATATCTTAGGTCTAGCTCTTTGGGTTCTTTAAAAGAAGATTTTTTTTAAGTTTTTACTATATGCATATAGGGAAAATCAATGATCCCCTGGGGCGGGGCCAATTTTGACCCAAGGGCTTTTATTTGAACAATCTTGGTAGACATTCATTAGAAGATGTTTTATGCTTAATATCTTAGGTCTAGCTCTTTGGGTTCTTTAAAAGAAGATTTTTTTAAGTTTTTACTATATGCATATAGGGAAAATCAATGATCTTCTGGGGCTGGGCCAATTTTGACCCCAGGGATTTTATTTGAACAATCTTGGTAGACACGCACTAGAAGATGTTTCATGCCAAATATCTTAGCTCTAGTTCTTTGGGTTTTCTAGAAGAAGATGTTAAAAGTTTTTTTCTTTTGGTTGCCATGGCAACCAGAGTTCTGCATGGAATGGAATTCTTTGAACAACTTTGTTAAGGCTTCACACAAGGAACATCCCTGTGAAGTTTCATTATGATCTGCCTTATGGTTTCAGAGGAGATGTTGTTTGAAAAGTGTGAACGGACAACAGATGACGTACGACATACGACATACGACGGACGACAGACGACGGACGAAGAGTGATCCTAATAGCTCACCCTGAGCATATGCTCAGGTGAGCTAAAAAACCACACAACAAATTTAAAACATTTTGAAAAATCATACCTATACAGAGAAAGACACAATTATTATAAAAGAGCTTTAATTTAGTTGCCAATAAGAAATTAACACACACTGACAAGAGTTTTCACACCTGCATAGATAAGAAAGACATGATCATTAATTGGTAATTGAACACGTCACCAGTTAAGATTATGTTTAAATCTACATTAAAATACACAGAACATTGACACATAAAATTGCTGTCCGGTTTTCAGAGGATTTTTTATGCATGTTTATCATTAGAAACCATAGAAAATCGTCCGGTTTTCGGAATTCAGAGGTTCCGGTATTCAGAGGATTTTTTTCAATGAACATATAAGGAGAAAATACGGGACTTTTAAAATGGTCCGGTTTTCAGAGGATTCCGGTTTTCAGAGGGTCCGGTTTTCAGAGTTTTTAGTTGTACAATAAACAAAGCATTCATTTTCATTTAATATACAATAAACAAAGCTTTCATTTTCATTTAACAAACCAGAAAAATAGCATCACATTAGAAGTAATACATTTCAGAAAGTCAGCTACTAAATGTGGTCATGATACAATATTTACAATATGTCAATATTCTGATATAAAACTTATTTAACTTGGTTTAACAGGCGGATTTTGTGCAAATTGTTGTTGTTGTTATTTAATCTATATCATTAACATTTTGTATTAAATATGAAACTTGATTGAAATAAATAATCAAATCCTGATCAAACAGTCTCCTTCTCAGATTAAAAAAATAATGAATTTTGTGCCTTTAAACTGGCACAGAACTTTATCCTTATCCTGAGCTAATATCTATAGAATTTAAATGTTTGATCTTACTATCATTTCTCGGTGTATTACTGGCATTTTATCAACAAATGATCCATCAGCTTCAGCATGATTATTCAGCCAATCAATTGTAAGTTTTACATCTTTTTCTTGATCAACAGCATCATTTACAACCTTCTTGGCTTGACAGAACACCTTGGCAACAAATGCTGTGAGCCTATAACATAGTATAAAGAGGATATTGAATGAGAGTTAGTTCAATACTGAATTTATTGAACGAGTTGAATAATATTTTATCAACGAGTTCAATAAATTTAGTAATGGACTTACTTGAATATAATATCATTTTTTATGACAAAACTCAATATAAAGACTGTTTAAAGAGAAAAAAATCATTTAAAAAATCATAACGCTAAAACATAGCGCGTCTTTACCCTGGGTTTGTATAACACAAATGGCGTCATGTCAAAATATGCATAGCCGTGCAATACCATTTTTACGGAGTCGCAAAAGCAACAGCAATTTATGTGATAAATAAATATACTGTCTGTGTAGAAACTGTCACATGAAACTTTCACAATCTAATCCACTCGGCTATTATGCTTCGCAATAGATCTTTGACATTATAGGGCGACATATTCGAACCACTTTAGTCACATGATTCCGCCATTTTGTTTGTTAACGTTATGATGTGAGTTTTGAATTTTAAAATTTACACAATATTTTTGTATTTAAAAAAAATGTGACTCGGGTCGGTGTTCAGTAGTTCCTGAAAGTTAGTAACTACAGTAATTACAATATTTTATAATCAATAGTCTCACCAAGTGCTAGCGGTTCGGTGTCTCCAGGCAGAATATGCTCCGTCGGTATGTCTGTATTGGGAAACCTCTCTGTTTACACCTGTTAAAATACAATAGTGTGCTTTGCTTGGAAATCAAGGGAAAACATTGAAGAAAATAAAACATGAAGTTTTAAGAAATTATGAAGTATCGGCTTCTTCTGAAAAACCTATAAGATTGTAAATGTTATGCTATCATAAGACAATATTTGAAATCATAAGACCATTTTTGAAATGATATTTATCCAAACAGCAATTTATAAAATACAGGTACACACTTAATAATGTAAATAAATACCATCTCTTATCCATTGACTTCCCTTTGTTTCTATGTCAGCGGTCTGTTGTTTTGTTTGTTTTAAGTAGGTCATGGCGTATACAGTTGGTGCCAGCCTAATCATCGTCTGCTCACCGCATCCGGCAGGTTGTTTAAACAAAGAATCCACGCCCTCTATGATCGTATTGACAATATTAGTCATCACACTACCTGTTGATTTAAAAATAGACATCAAAGTATCAGATCTTCCGGATACAATAAGTATGAAAATTGTATTGCCTTTTCTATGGTCAACATCATCTGTAGTGACGATTATTTCTGTCCTTATAACCCGTATAAGTCAGGCCGGTCTATGCACAAAAACGGAAGAATCAATACAATACTACATACATGTACGCTCCAAGTATTCTTATTATATAAAAGGCAAAACTATTATGTACTTTTAGTTGACTAACCTTTTTTACTTTCAATACAGTTGTATAAACGTATAATTTAACACTTATTAACCACTGCCGGATCCTTGTTGGAGTGTTCCTTGAATGGGAGGGAGAGAAGAACAAATTTCGCGCACACAAAATGTGAAAACAAAATCGAAATCACGGGCGTTGCCTTAGCGGTGCACTGGTGCAGCAGGTGTTGCTACAGTGTTGGCTTAGCGGGCGTTGGCTCAGCGGGGGTTTAAAGTTGGTTTAGCGGCATACCGTTTTTGACTAAGGAGCTGAACGGATCGTTTTGAAGTTCTGAAAGATTTTGATAGAAGTCAAAAGTTAATTTTCATCATTCCACTTGGACAAAAGAAGAGGAAGGAAAGGCAGCAGCCTCAAAGAAGATCATTACTGAGCAGGCAGCTGAACCAATGTAGTCAGGTAAATATATGTGGTCCACTGGTTGTGCCAAGTAATATTTAACAACTGTGAAAAAATACAGCTCAATACAGCACATCTAGCGACTTCGAGGAACAGAAAGACAACGAGGACTCACTCTCGTTCATTGAAACTCAAAGCGGTAGTCACGAGGTCCCAGGACACCCCTTACAAGTTCCCTTCTCCATCACCACCAGACCACGCGGTGCCGCCACCAGACCCGAGTCAGAAGACTCCCCTGCGATGCTAGAGATAAGGGATTGTATGAAGGCTACCAACGCTCTCATGGAGAGACTGGGTTAAGCCCAGGAGATCAGCCATGCAAGTTAGACCATCATCACGTACACGTCCCAGTCTCTCCAACGACTAACTGAGGCTCAGTACCAGCTCAGAGTGGAGAGAATGACCAGCTCAACAACGTCAAGCGAAACCCACACGCGCTGTCTTCCAGCAGCAGCTGAAATACTTCCAGTCTCAGCCTTAGCATCACGGCTTCCAGCAGCAGCATGTCGACTTCCAGCAACAAACTCAGTCTGAGCATCAGACTCAGCACTTCCAGCAATTGCAGACACCCAGAGTCAGCCAGTCATCTTCAATCCCAAGAAGCTCTAACGAAGCCTCATGTTGTCAAACTTACAGAACTTTTCCTTAACCACACCATCATGAGCACCGTCAAGGTGGGGGGAATCTCCATGACCTCCAGAGGCAGGAGATGAACGCTCCTCCCATTCTAATCACCACCTCAGCTCAAGGGACTGCTGATGTACTTGCAGAGATGAGGGCTACCACTGAGGAGAATTGAAACTGCTTGTGATGTGTTCAAGTAACTGCTCAGATATATCATGTTATCTTTGTTTAAGGGATGAGCTTGCCAGCTGTTTTGATATTTGCTGTTTTTTGTTTGCATGTGCACTTGTGTGTTTAGGTGGTCTCAAAAGACTTGAGCTTTAATAAACAACATTTTTATTAAACTATTCTTGACTACTTTTATTTTGTATCTTATATTTATATTGTTGTTACTGTATTATTTTGTCCTTTTCAGGACCATGATGTAAAACAGCCATTGTGCTGATACATGTTTTTATCCTGATTGAATACTTTGAAACAACAATCAGATTAAAGACCTTTATTGGCAATTCTAACTAAAAAAACAACAAAAAAAACCTCAAGTATTTTAAATATAAAGTACTTTGATTAATATAGTATGACATCTAAATGAGTCGTATCACAAGTTTCTTTAATAATCCCTCATAACGTTTTAAACAAACACACAATTTATTCATTACATTTCCAATATTAGGGCCCCACAATCGCTCGACTTCCTTTAACAATGTCAAATAACATTTACAACAAAGTAATCAACATGAGTATATAAAATATGAACAATGCACAAGTGTCACCTCAGTGTTCTGCACAGCGTTTAGTTAATAGCCATCATTCTCTCCTGCTGGTCCGCTAATCCTGTTGGGGAGTTGCATCAATGCTTGAGTAGGTTTCGCCGCCCATTCCCATCACGTGAGGCTGTGTTTGGGCCTTGCACAACGATAGTGTCCTCAAAGTTCCGTCCTTCTCTCCATGCTTGAACCTGCAGGTTCAAATCTGGTTGTGCACGGTTCAGAAGTCTGTTCTTGTGCACTGGGAAGAGGGTGCGCATCAGGTTGTGGAGGACGCAGCAAGCTTCCACGATGATTCTCAAAGTTTCATGGTGATGTTGCATGGTCGTGTGCAGAATCTTGAACCTGTTGGCTAGGTTGCCGAAGGCGTTCTCCACGACCCGTCTTGCCCTGGACAGCCGATAGTTGAAGATGCGCTTTTCATAGGTGATGTTTCTGGTGCTGTACGGCTTCATGAGGTAGGTCCGCAGTGAGAAGGCGCCATCCCCGATGATGAAGTGAGGCACATTCTGATTGTCATTGGATAGGGGGTGTGGCTGAGGAAAGGCATGACTCATGTTCTGGTCCAGTTCACGACGGAGATCACTTAATTTGTAGATCTGACCATCTGAGGATGAGCTATTGACTGGTAACGCTATAAAACCCTTTGTAGTTGTAGAATTCTGAGTCACAGATACGAGGAGCTTTACAGGCCACGTGCTTGCCATCAATGGCACCAACTGTGTGGTGAAAGTTCCATCTCTGGTACCATTGGTCAGCCAGGTCCCTCCATCCTTGTTAAGTTGTTGGGCAAAACAAGAGTTCATCTGTGTACTCCTCAATGATGGCCGTTACCACTTCTCTGTCTACCACACTAATGGTGTTATTGGGAACCCTCCAGGTGAAATTCATGTTTCTGGAGCTGTTACCAGACGCAAGGTGCCGTAGGGTGATTGCCACTTTGAGACTAGGTTCTGAAGGTCAGCCTCTGTTCAACTTCATCAAACATGGCTTGCGGCATCCTCATGAAGTACAGGAAGGCTCGTGGATTCTCATTCCTTAGCTTCACCATCAGCTCGTCATACAGTCTATTTTAGGCCTTCTCAGTATCCAATGTCTGACCCGCTCCACCAAAGTCTGTGCAACGTTTAATCACCTCCCGGGTAAAGCTTGCGACGCAGCGTTGGTCCAGTGTTTAAGATTTCTGCGTTGGCCCAAGCGTCCACGAACTTTCGTTAAGCGGTGCCAAACTTTGACTTGGCGTTGTTGTGGCGGAAGTTATCTTTGTCGGAGTTGAAAAATTGCCCGGTCCTCATCGCTCGCAATATTTTGTGCAGCTCAAAACTTTTGAAGCGGTAGGAGGGACCATAAGCGGTGACCGAGCGAATACGGGGTTGCCTTAACGGGGGACAACGATTGGTGAACAGTAACGAGCGGTGATGAATTTTTTTACCGCTCCAGGAACGCTCCAGCAAAGTTCTTGCGGGCCTTGAATAAGTTGGCAAATACCATAACGCAATATTTTAACATACTATGTCATAGAACTAGTGTATTGCCGACACGGAAATGGGAATAGAAAATGAGAACGATATTAATTTACGCAAAAAAAAAGAAAAAAAGAGAACAAAACAAAACAAACAAACATGTAAATTTAACGATTTTGTCATTTTTTTATTTTGTTAGAATTAAAATTTTCCTTCTTTGCCTTAAAGTTTCTAAAAATGTACTTCTCAGGGAAACTTCTTTAATTAAATACTTTTTTCATTTGAATTTCCCGCATTTGCAATTAACCTTTTAAGGCAAAATCAAGGGCAGTCAAATCTTGGAGGTTTCATGATTTGAGTTCCACCGCAGATGTAAATCTTTTTCAACTTCTATTTTTACGCTCTAAGTAAGACCTTAGCTTACCTCTCCTTTACCTTAAATTTATCTTTACCTTACCCTAACCTAACCTCATCTCACCTCACCTAACGTCACCTCACATTACATTACATTACATAACCTTACCTCATGATAAAATGAATTCACTTGTTAGTACTTACTTTGGATATACGCAGTAGCTGCCCCTGTCTGTGAAATACTATTCTTTGGAAGCGTTAGATCTACTTCGTACTGTCTTACGTCCCTGCTTGGTTGAACTGAAGTAATCAAAAAAGACAAGTGACTTGATGATATAGTTTTGCATACATAGAGAGAAATTCGTAAAATTTAGCGGATAATAAATATTATGAAAGAGAAATGCGTATACTTAATTTACTTAATATATTACAGTATACCCTTCCAAGATCTTGAGTAAGTATTTAGATGATATTAATGTAACTTAACATGTTGTTATATTTGTTTTTCAGTTATAAATTATAATAAACGTCAGCTGAGTAATCAATAAAATAAATAAGTTATAAATATCTTTCGGAATTTATCGGTAATGTTCAATAAATAAAAGGAATGGGGGCAATTTTTATGGTTTAGGTATTTCTTTTTATATTTTATCCTAAACATAATGTAATAATCAATACTAAATAAAGTTCAATCACCATTTAGATAGTCAAGCTTTTGAAATATACAACTAATTATTCCCAGTTTGACAGACAAAAAAATAAGTTTGATATCACTTAACTAAATTTGTATCTTTCATTGTCGTTATAAAGGAGTATTCTTGTAGATAAGTGGATAATATATTTCCTGATTATTATGAAAGAAAAAATCGTTCAGATGTGTCACACAATAGAAAGAGGTGATTCTGACATAGGAAAGCTTCCCCGAAAGCAAAGAAAACAAATTAATGTTGTAAGTGAATATCTGTCACAGACACTAGGTTTGAAAATACAATAAATGCACTGGCATCAAATTGTAAAATTAAGATATAAGAAGCCACGCTACCAATTTCTACAAAAGGGGAAGACACTTAGAACAAAATAACTTTCTACCACGCAGTGATCTCCCCTTACAGGATATGAGATGCACAGAGTTTGGCAAAATAACTGAATACATGGAATGAGTGGGTTAAAATGAAAGATAAAATTGTTGACATTTAATTAGTACTGTTACCACTAACTTACAGTCTTTAACTACACGAATATCATTTTTACAATCTTCTTTCTGTTTCATTGGATCTAAACACACAACAATTGTTATTTTTTCATCTATACCCTCATTCTGAAATACATAACAAAGAAAAAGGTGTACAGATCTTTTTTAAAATTTCCGTGAGCACTTTTTTATACTTATTTCCCATAATAATAATATATTTTTAACTTCGAGTCGACGAGATGTTTACAAAAATAAACCCCATAAATTACAGTCAAATTGTGAGCATTTCGTAGGTGCGCGATGACGTAGTATCCTTACCATACTTGAATGATATACGAATGCGACAGTTAAACTTTGATGGATAATCCTAGTTTTGAAAAATATATTATTGTGTTTTAAAATTCATCTTAAATCGCATGACTGGTTCCTGTTTTTACCTTTATTGTTAACAGTGTATAATGATTTAATATGAACTTAAGTAAAGTCAATGAACAAGGTAATTAGCAAAAAAAAATGTCCATTGTTTTTTAGACAACATTTCTTGTTAATTGTGTCATTCAGTTTTTGAAAGCACCGTTTCCATTCTCAATCAGAACACATCAGTGATTGCTTCAGAAAAGTTGTAGGAATACCTAGTCGAATACCATTGTGTTAAATTAAAATGGCAGCGACGATGATCAACAAATGACACTGGCAAATTTTACCGATAGGTATACAAATCTTTCAATAATTTAATGCTTTTTTATTTGATTTCCTTTTAAATATACACGTGTAATCAAAAGCTGGACAAGCCAAAGCCTTAACTTCCCTGCATTAAGTTTTTTTGAAATTGTATAATCTGTAAATACATATTTTTTACTCTATAAAACGTGTTTCAACAACACTTACTACAACGAATAGTTTCTTTTCAATGACGTCAACTTCCGGTATTCCTCCTTGCGTAACAATGGCAGACACTTTTACAGGAAATAGGCCGTCCTTTAAAGGTATCATTGGAAAGGTTACTGTTTGTGCGCTATTCGGCGGGAGCTCAACTTTGACTCGAGGTGATGGTTTCCCTGGGTCGCTGTTATAACACAAATTTTGAACTCCTTGCAGGTAAACATTGGCCTAAAAAGATACACTACTTTTATGAATCATATGCAAATTATCTATTCTTTAATGCACATATTAGTATGCGGAACTCGGGATTTAAGCGGGAAACAAAACCCTCTCAGATGTACACCAGTAAAAGACCATGAAGACCAGATAAATTATTTTACCTTTACCAGTGGACGTGTGTAATGGAATTTCGCAGCTTCGAATTAGGGATCATTCAATATTAATTAGATTTCAAAAGCGAAATACAAAAACACACTTTTTTTAGCATGGTCTGCGTATTTGAACATATTAAATGCATTAAATAGCACAAAACTAAAACGTTTACTAGCACATTATTAATACGTAAACCAACGCATTATTAATACGTTAACTAGCACATAATTAATGCGTTCACAGGCAGGTAATTAATACGTGTACTAGCATATTATCAATGCGTAAACTAACATTTTATTAATGCGTTAACTAGCACATTATTAATACGTTAACAAGCACATTTTAATATGTTAACTAGCACATTATTAAAGCGTTAACTAGCATGTAATTAATACTTCTTCTAGCATATTGTTAAAATGTAAAGTAGCACATTATTCATACATTAACTAGCACATAATTAATGCGTTAACAAGCAAGTAAGTAATACGTGTACTATAATTTTATTAAAACGTGAACTAGCACAATATTAAAGCGTTAACTAGCACGTCATTAATGCTTTAACTAGCACGTGATTAATAAGTGTGCTAGCATATTATAAAAATGTTAACTAGCACATAATTAATGCAATAACTAGCACATTATTAAAACGTAAAGTAGCACATTAATAAAACATAAACAGGCACATAATAATGCAATAACTAGCACGTTATTAATACGTGTACTATCAAATTAAAATGTTAACTCGCACATTATTAAAGCGTTAACTAGCAAGTCATTAATGCGTTAACTAGCACGTAATCAATACGCGTGCTAGCATATTATTAAAACGTTAACTAGCACATTATTTATGCGTTTACTAGCACATTTTAATAAGTTACCTAGCACATTATTAATACATTTACTAGCACATTATTAACGCGTAAACTTAAACATCATTAATGCGTTAACTACCACGTAATTTATACGTGTACTAGCATATAATTGATACATTATTAATGCGTTAACTAGCACCTTTTTAATGTGTTAACTAGCACATAATTAATGCGTTAACTAGCACATTATTAATTTGTTGACTAGAACATGATTAATGCGTTAACTAATGCATTATTAATACGTTTACTTGCACATTATTGAAGCATTAACTATATATCTCACTCAACGATTTTATGACAGTAGTCAAATAATTCACTCAAACTCGTATCAACTTAAAATTTTAAAAGGATTTATAAATACTGGATTTACAAATGCATACTTACCACTTTATTGTCAGACCCCGGCATACCGTAACTAAATATCGTTGCTTTAACATTGAAATGTTCCAAACGAGATGCTTTGTACGGAAGATCAAGTTGAATGAAGAAATCTCTGAAAGCCTTAAAATCGAAAGGGTCAGCAATACACATACCTTCATCTTTCGTTATACCTGCAATATTTTAACATAGCCTTAATTAACTGAGCTGAAATAGCACCCGAAGAAAATTGGGTGGCGGCGTTTAGTAAAAGCACCGACTAATAATCTAAGGATCGATTGTGGCGTGGGTTCAAACAAGAAACAAGTCGTTGTTTTGCCGACACTCATCGCTCAGTACTGGTTTGTTTCAGGAACGGATTCGAGAGTTTGACAATAAGCTTAAAGAGTTCTACGCAATGGAAAGCAAATAAATCAAGTGTTCATATTTAATTAACATTTTCAGGAACTTCACTGAACCCAAAAGCCTAGAAACATAATATTTATTTTCTTCCAACAATCATCAGCTGGGGTACTTAAAACAAAAAATATGCAGAAAATGAATAAGAAATATGCTAGGAAATGAGAATTGAAAATCGTATTGTCATGTATTTTTTTGTCCCGAAAAAACCAATACTTCTAATTCTTGGTTTATTTTCACAATTAGAATGATCAATCTTGAAAACCAGGGAAAGGGAATGATCTCAAAATGTGCACACATGTTATTGTTCTATACATCAATAACATACAGTAGATTCGGAAAACAGTTTTTAAAGCTTTCTAAGGCTTTGTATTTTGCTACGAGCAGCGTAGGAAATTTAATATCTCGCGAGACCGAAGGACGAGAGGGATATTATTTCCAAATGTTGCGTGTAGCAATATGCATGGCTTCAGAAAGCTACTATAACATAATTATCCTTTTATAATATACTTCTCTATGTTGTTTGAGAAAAAAAAGACTTTTAATATTTTAAACCTCGCTTAGTTATTTTAGAAACTGAAATATAGCTGTAAAGTAATAAAAATTAAAAATGACGGATCAATACGTAAAATATTTGCAAAAGAGGCCACGCCTTCGATTGGCTTTGGTTCCCGTCTCAAAATGCTACATATTGTGAACCAAGAAGAAAAAAAAGTCCGTCACTTCCATATATGGAACCGTATTTGTCACTAAAATCATAGTCTTCTACCCATTAAAGGAGAAAAAGTATACGTATAAAAGACAAAACATAACAAAATATCATCTTTAAACTTGATATTTTTTTTTAAAACAAAAAAGAGTAAAAATAGGACAAATGTGCTTTTGAAACGGGTGGAGTTAAAGAGAAAACTATACAATAACCTATCAACAGTCTTCTACCTTATTGAGTCACACATGACCACGGGTAAGAATAAAATGATATTCATAATTTCCTGTATATCATTTCGAAGTTTTAGTTATGACCTTTACCAACTTACCAATAGCCTGTATTTGCCATTCTGTTATAGAGTCTGGAACGTTTAGCATCGTCTTTTTCTGCCCGTCCCTAAAATTCAAAAGCAGTTACGAATTTATCATGTCAGCGGTTCTTGTTATAGGACGAGTTTCAAAAAAGGTTCAAATAAACTCATTCTTACAAAGCTTTAATAGATTAAAACCGTGATATGATATAAACATTGTGTTTACATGCCAACATCATAGATTGGAAATTTCTTAACGTCAATAATTTGTGACAATGAATATAAGGGTAACATATTACGATTGTATCATAGTTTGGGGACCTTTCTGTTGAAAATGGGTCAGAGTTAAATCGAATTCATATACATGCACAGTGCGTAAACTGAAGTGCAGGTAAAGGTTACACGCACTCTAGAGCATTCCCATTGATTGGCTCTTTTTATTTGGGTTTACTAATTCTGACGGCAGAGAGACGGGATTTCATATCATGACAACAAGGAACGTTTTTTTCATGTTTGACTATGATACAGCTACTCCACCTCGTAAAAATAAGATTGCCTCGTGTTTGGATTCTATTGATAACTATGTGTTTCTCAACCCAGTCAAGGCTGATTCGAAACCCAAACTGTTCACAAACATGTTTCCTCATATAAGACCGATGTTGGTAGTTTCAAGGCATTTGAGTCCAGAGTGGCTCAGTTAAGCAACAAATATTTTCATGTTCAATCTTAAATGAAAAACTATTTTACCAAAGTTTAATGACGGCACTTTTGCAAGATAAAATTACTGAAATACGTAGTTTGAAACATCACAGAAAATAAAAGCTGAAGGCCGTTCTAAGGGTAAAATTTGAAGCAATGGATGACTTACTTGTCCAGACTATAGACATCAAAAAGCCAAGATTCGCGGAAATTTGACCTAGTTTTACTTGTTATACCAGCATCAGCCAATCTTGCGATGTCCTCCAAATAGTCACTTTCGTCATCCAATGATTTTGAAGTTATCGATGTTTCATCTGTAACAAAAACAACATTCTAGTATTATTTATTTTCAATAAAAACAATATGCTGTAATTAAGTTTATTTTAGTAATATTTGCAATATAAGTCTCAGGCACAAAAAGCAATCTAACAATAGATAATTTGCAAATACATTTGTAGCTAAATGTTACGGATTGGATAACAAAATGATTATACAGTATAAAGCTCCAACTCAATTCAATTCAATTCTGTCTTATATTCATTGCATGACACAAATATTTAGCGATTGATATTACTTCATCAGTTAGTTTTGATAACGTGAGGGAATAAAGTAAACGCGGCGAACAATAATGTAACTATGAAGTAGATAGCTCTGATATATATTGAAATTCGGAGAAAAATTATATTCATTTTCAACTATATAAATATTTGTCTTCAGGCAATGAAAGCAAGATTTTAAATCTATATCTTTTCCAATATGTCTACCATTTTCTATCATAAGATAATGACACGAACAGCGAAAATTAGAAATAGGTTTGCTATACGTAAATGCTGAACTTAAATGCATAGTCTTTGTTTGTATCATTAATAATGCATTGTCGGTGTATCAAAATAATGCAGGCTCTGTGTATGTATAAAAATAATGCACGGTCTGAATATCATAAATAATGCACGGTCTGCATGGTCTGTGTATCAAAAATAATGAACAGTTTGTGTAGGTTTAAAGAATTATGCATTGTCTATCAGTAATAATTCACGGTCGTTGTTTCTAAAATAATGCACGTTCTGTGTGTGTGTATGAAAAAATGCATGGTTTGTATATAATAAATAATGCAGGGTATGTTTATCATAAATAATGCACGGTAAGTGTATGTATAAAAAAATGCACGGTATGTGTATAATAAATACTGAACGGTCTGTGTATCATTAATAATGAACGATATAATTCCTCACCAGTATAACTACAATGTCGCATTGTGACTAAAAGGGTGTCGGTGTGTTTAAAAACCTTCAAATAATAATGAATGAATGAATGAATGAATAAATGAATTAATGAATGAATTAATCGATTAATGAATTAATGAATAAATGATAAATAAATGATTAAATGAATAATGAATGCATGGTATTCATTGTTATAGTGAAAATTACACTAAAATTTACATTACAAATGCTCAGCAGGGTGGGTACTAACCAGTAATAAGATATTGCAGCTCATCTATACAAGTTTTAAAGAACGCCGTAACGCATTTGATCGAAACCTTTTTTTCCACCGTCAATTTATGTGCTTCAGGGTAGCAACTTGCGTATGGATTCATGCCCGCTGGGTTATCTGACTCATAGAAAAGCTCTTCCGCCAAGTCGAATCCTTTTTGACAACATGTTTCAGTTGCACCATATAAACATGCTAAAACAAATTTGCTCAACATTTAATACTTAACACACAATCTGAAACAGAACTGTATTGCTTCCGGTACACAAAAATTAATATACAATCTGAGACAGAACTGAATTGTTACCTATACACAAAAATTAATTCACAATCTGAGACAGAACTTTATTGCTTCCTGTACACAAAAATTAATTCACAATCTGAGATAGAACTGTATTGTTACCTGTACACAAAAATTAATTCACAATCTGAGACAGAACTGTATTGCTTCCTGTACACAAAAATTAATACACAATCTGAGACAGAACTGTATTGCTTCCTGTACACAAAAATTAATTCACAATGTCAAAGAGAACTATATTTTTTCTGTACACAAAAAGCAATACACAATCTGAAACAGAACTAAATAATTTCATGTACATTGTTATATGACACCTATTTTATTGTTTGCCATACACAAAAATCAATACATAAACTTGAAAAAGAACTATTTTGTTTAATGTACACACCAATCAATACTCTATCTAAAATAAAAGTAAATTGTCGAGTAAATCTTGAAGGTATAATGAATATGTTTTTGAAAAGATTCGGACTCACGAGCATGAGGTCCATAAACATTTGTCTTAATATGTATCCTACCGGGTAGGATTTTATAAAAATACAGTGGGTGTAAAAAAAGTAAATAATCTTTGTATTTAATGTGTTCAATGTAAAGCCTAGCATTTACTTACAGTCGCCATCTCGTCGCTTCCTGGTATTTGCCTTGCAGCCGTCAGTGGTCCGTACTAAATCATTTTCATTTACGGCAGCGTTAGTTAACACTGTCAGGCCGGATTTCTGAGATACAATTATATTTAAAAAATATATATATCTATGTCTTAAAATAATCGTGACGTAAAAATATTGATATAGAGTATATATAGCGGATATACAAGTTTTTTCTATATAAATACGGGATTTATTTTCATCGAGTGGTATGAAAATGAATATTTCAGGAGTTGCAGTAGCAACGAGTGAAAAATTATAATTTTCATAACACAGGAAAGTACAAACAAGTCAAGGTGACGTCAAATAAATGAGCGCCATTTAGTGTTTTGAGCGTGATTTGGTGCTTTGTCGTTTATAATTTAAATAATAATTGATTAGATTGAACGCAAATAAACTTTGAATTTGGCTTGAATTTTGTAAGAAAATTTGACCAGTTTTAATACCAAATATAGATTATGTACTTTACGTTGAAATTTGAATGTTTTGAAAATATTTTATTTGCATCCTGTTCGCTTGAAAATAAATAAAATTTCACTACTACAAAGTCGTGTTCTCTATAACATGGACACGTGCTCTCTATAACATGGACAAGTGTCTTCTACAACATGAACACGTGTTCTCTATAACATGCGTTGCTCAGGCTCTGCTTTGTGAGCACAGACGAAAGAAAAACTCAACTGAATTATTTTCTGACCTTGAAAACATCAGCTCCCGATCTGCCACTACCTTCTCCGCAACCAAGATCATGTGACTGGAGAGTCTCAAACATCTGATAAAATAACAAAATAAAATCAGTCGTGTGACGCCAACAACTATTACAACTATAACACTTTATAGCCGTCCGGTTAGCTCAATAGATACTGAGTTGCACCATGAATCGGGCGACCCATGTTCGATTCCCAGAAAGTGCATGTTACGTTCATTGTAATATAATCATGAAATTCTTTCTACGGTCATTCACATTGTACCTCTGCTCTGGCACGTACAGAAGTTACCAGTTTTATGTGAAAGCGAGGGCAACCAGTACTGGTAAAATACTTAACAGCATGCCAAGGTACTATATGGCAGCTGAACTGTGCGCTGAAAACTAAATGTGGCTTACTGCCTTTATCCGGAGTGAAAACTACCAACACCAAAATCACTACAACCAAATTTTATTAATTTCATGTACGTACTAAAAATGACGCTTAAAGGGTTTTTAGCTATATAAACTGTATCTGCTAAAAACTATTCTTAGGATTTTGAAAAAAAACTTTTCCAAAAAGCCTGTATAAAGAATATGCTTCTTTATTGCCAAAAAGCGAAAGGTACATGCACATAGTTTATAATAATTGCTTAATGGTAAAAACCTTACTTAAATTGCTGAATAATATTTTCTACAATAACATTTTATTCTGTATACATATAATGTTCATGTGTATTAAATATCATTTTTAGATGTTATTCCATAGTTTTTCTTGTTAATCTCTTACTTTGTTCTTCCTGAGAACATTCTTATCATTCAGTAAAAGGAGAGCCTTGTCCATTATATTTAGACCCACGTGCATGAAAGGTGTTCCAGTTACAGTCAACATATCTTTGGTTCCCGGCGCTACCTCCTTCTTCATCGTTTCTAACTTCAGCTAAAAAGTTGAAATTAAACATCATATTGCACAAGTTTAACAATACATCAATATTAAACGATTACGGTCATTGATATATTCTAGTTTAAACATTCATCAGCAAACACTGATGCACATTCTTGTATGGTGTTACTAGAAGTGAAAAGAAACTTTACTAGTGATTTCAGAATAAATATGACAGTAACTTTTATAGAGAAACTTGAAACGGACTTGATAAAGACAACAGCAATCAACTCATGCATGTTCATACTTTATCTAACACATAAATAATTATAGACAATACTTGCCAGTGTTAGCATATATAACACCAAACCTGGCAGAATAATTAAATAATCGCACACACAAGTATACTGAAAATTTCTATGAACACACATGACCGCATAATTACATAAGCAGACACCTGTCAGGATAATCAGATAATCATACACATTCAGCGCTATTAGATAATCATAAACATGTCAGCATTAATAATCATACAACTCTCAGCACTATTAGATAATCATACAACTGTCTGCATTGTCAGATAATCATACATGTGGCAGCATTTTAAGATAAATATACAATTTATAGAATTATTACATAATCATAAACGGGTCAATATTATTAGATAATAATACACGTGTAAGAATTATAAAATAAACACTATTCATAGTCAATATTATTCCCTGCGGTCTTGAGACCGCAGGGTATTGGTACGCGTTTAACTTTTGAGGCATGGAGGAGCACGTGACCTGTTTTCGGTACATGGAGGAGCATGTGATCTGTAAACCGTACACGATTGGTTAATTGACCTGTTCGAAAACCTAGCTAAATACCGTTTGCCGGTTACGGATTTACATGTAGGGAATTAGTCCGAATTAAACCTAATTAAGAACAAAAAACTATTACGTGATATTTCTAATTTTCTATAATTATTTTACCGTTTAAGGTGGAAAAACTTGAATGAAAATTATCAATGTTTCTTTGATATCTATCTCAAATTTTACAAACAATACAGAAATTCTACAAAATTGAAATATTCGTAGTGGCATCTGCCATAATAAATAGAGATATTTTCTGCGTAAACTTGTGTGTTTACTTTATTAATTTTTGCTCGGAAGTATTCATATAATGGTAGTCCTATTTAATCATTTTTTTAAAAATAAATAATTGTTTATTTCCGACCTTCTCTGGTCTTCAATGGTCACCAGTTTCCAAAGACCTTCTATATTGACCGTTTATTCAATTGTCAACAAAATTCCTGATATAAACGTCGTTCCCCCCCAAATAATGTTGAAAATAGTTAAATGAAATAATTTTATATCATTAAAATGTTCACCGCAGGGAACCATTTTACTTGTTAGAAAATGGAACGCCTGTCAAAATAAATAGATAATCATAAACCTGTCAGCATAATGCGATAAACATACACATATGAGTATAATTAAATATGTATGCAACATGTGAGAATATTTCCATAATCATAGATCAAATAAGACAAACATACTTCTGTGATCATTATTATTTCATTATACAATACAATACAACGCAATACAATACAATACAATACAATACAATGCAGTATAATGCAATACAGTAATAGATTATCCAGCATTAAACATTTAACAAAGTATACATATACAAAGAGAACATGGTTCATAGAAAAGTACATGATTGTCAATAATGATTAATACATTTGTACTTAATTGATTATATTTACTGACCATTTAAATATAAATTAAATAAGCTACACAAGGTTTCTATTTAAACCTCCCACGCGTAAAATGCGAGTCAGGTGCGCGTATATGTTAAAGAGCATCAATACTGAAGACAGATTTAGTAGTAAACAAAAAAAAACTTCATTTCCTATATGGGATAGGTCCGCTTATGAGAGATTTGCAAATTTCTTTAAATATATTTCTTAAATACTTATAAGTTCATTATAACCAAATAATGTTCAACAAATGTACAAAATATTAAGAAAAATGTTTTTCTCCCACGGATATTTTCTCCATTTTTATGAAAATGGGCTTCTTAACCCACTGTAACACCCATTGGACAAGTTAAAACCAATGGGAGAATGTAAAAATCCAATGGAACTCCACACTTTGAATGCTTGTCCCGTGCTAATTGGTTGTGCTTTCTTTATATAAAGGGCCAATTATCGTCTATTTCCATCCACATTACTGTTTGATTTAACTGTTTTTTGTATTGAAACTATATTTAAAAGTGTACTTGAGTTTGCGGCGAATATTGCGGATTTGCAAATATATTTTAGAGAGGCTGTTAATACGAAACAAGAAGACCAATGGCCCTAGATCGCTCACCTGACCTATCGACTCCTAGATCATGTAGATATGATCAAAATAATTTTTCAGACCAATTTCAAGAATATTTGGATTAAAATACATGACTGTAGTAGTCACTAAAGTGTTTACAAGATTTTTTTATTTTTAGGCCCTGTGACCTAGTTTTTGTCCGAGTTGATCCCTGTTCGAACGCATCCGAGCAATCACATAGAGAAGCATCCTAAGAAAGTTTAATGATGATTGAGGCAAAAATGTGACCACTCTGGTGTTAACGGAAAAATGTAGACGGACGACGGGCATTCAACGATCCTAAAAGCACACCCTAAGCTAGCTCAGATGAGCTAAAATATCTAAATTTGTAGATTGTACATGCTGTATAAATTGTTATTTGCGCGACTTTAATTCGTATAGTATATGAATTTAGCTACATTACGAATAGTTTTATTCGAACGTGATGATAATAGAACCTGAAATTTCTTGATATTCGGCCAGTGACTGAAGTAAAGCTGAAATATTCTTTCTTTAAATTATGTTGAAAAGGACAAACTAGAAGAAAACGGTAGATCTAATCCTATTCGATTTGATTCATATTGCATAACCTACACAATCTATCTTCTCTTTAAATATTGTTATATCTCTCGGTTTCAAATTACGCTATGTGACGAAATTCTTAATCTAGTTAATGCTATTCGGTTTTTATTTTCGTAGATAATATTAAGGTATTTTCTCAAGCTCGAATTCATTTTTAGTTATCGCGTATGAATGAAGTCGATTTGAACTATCAATCTTCCTATACCATGTTTGCATGTATGAATCATAAATTATGTTCCTAATTTCATCAAATGGAATGTCGATTTCAAATTGGTGGTCCAAAATATAGCTAAAACCATGGTGTACAGGTATAGTCTGGGTTTAGTACGCCCTATTACTTCTTGCGAAAAGCCTAATCAAATCAGTGCAATGTTTAAGCATTAGGAATATCTGTAAAATTAGAGAATTTTGCGTTTAGTATTTTAACATAGTGATCTTCTGCGTAATTTCTAGGGGAAAACGCCCAGTTTACCATATTGTGCCGATAGGATGGTTGATCATTCGTCGTAAAAGTTTCGTGTGTATAACTTCTATATCCCTGGCCATATGGTGCCCCCAAATCTCAGATCCAAAGTGAAGGGCTGAACCAACCAACCAACGTATCAAATATGCAAAATTACTTTGGGAAAGTAAATTCTGTGTCACTGAACCAACAAACTAATTATAGACATGTTACAATAATTATTATCAATAGTTATTGATATTTTCAATACACTACTTTTTCATTATTTTTTTTTACTTGTTAATTACTTGATAATTAATTCTATAATTTATATACTGTGCCTTGATTTCAATTTACTTACACCTTTACCGCGGCATTTTTTGTCAACCTCAAACTTAATAGAATCTGCCACTAGCTCGTTTGTAGATGTATCAACATAAAAGACAAGTAGTCTTGCATCAGGTGAGACTAATTCTTGTAGATCCTTCGTTATCTCTACACTAGCTTGTTTTCCTGCATCTTTATATTGTGTATGAATTACTTTACCACGTGAAATAACCTGTAATATCAACAGCAGTCAATGATCTCATCATATCATCCTAATCATAATCATCATTTAAAAATCTACAACAATCATCATCATCATCATCATTAAAATCATTATTATCATCATTTAAAAATAAACAACAATCATCACCACCATCATCATCATTTAAAAATCTACAGCAATCATAATCATCATCATCGTCATCATCATCATCCTCATTTAAAAATCTACAACAATCACCATCATTATCATCATCATCATAATCATCATTCGTAAAAAAGCATGATCATACATGTGTTACTATTATTTTACACACCACCAACACCTCTTCAATCTCCACCACTACCACCATCCTCATTATTGAACCAATTATTGTCATCATCATAAACAGCATCATAATTTTTATTACAACACTCTTCATCATCATTAATATAACTACAATCATCATCATCATCATCAACAACAACAACAACACCACCAATAACGAGATCATTAATGAACTAATCCCACCACCATCAAAACCATAACGACCACCACCATAATCATATTAAACATCATCATCACCATCAACACTATCATCATCATCATCATCATCATCATCATCAATGCAATCATTGTAATCATCATCAAAACAAACATCTTCATTATCATCAAAACTATCATTATTACAATTTTCATTTATCATCATAATCGTAGTTAGTTATCAAATAACAAGACTATGTTCGCCATTCAAAAAATAATGTAGTAACCTAAGTATCAAAATTTGAGTCATGATTTTTCATGATATGTAGATAATGGTGAAATTTTACATACCACAAAAAGCATCCCGGTGTATTTATTCCCGTGTATGTTTGTAAAAGCCCGCATCAACATCACGTTCCTCTCCTGGGTAAATAAAAATATTACTTTCAAAGGCGTTCAAAATTTCTAATACAACGTGTACCCACTGATATAGCTGGTGAATATCTAGAAAGTATTTTTAAATTGAATTTTTAATAAGCGATTTATAATTAGGCATATTTGGCGTTCCATTTCCTAGAAAACGAAAGCCGAGTTATAGTGAATGCATACAACACATGCCCAGTAAATATAGCTCCTTTTAAAGACACAACAGCACAATTTAGTTCATATAACGCCCAAAAATGAGATTATATTTGCTAACCGCGAGTGTTTCAAACCTGGATCCAAACTACATAACCTTCTAGAGCTAAAAGATTCATAGGCTTCAGTTATTGGAACTCAATTTAGTCGTCTCTTACGATCACGCAGGGATAAACTGTTGCTGCAATTCTGATGCATCAACACTTAAATAGCAAGCCCTCAGCCACAAGGGGAATGAACATTACAACAAACCTACGAAAGTATCGAACAATTATTACAGCCCATTTATCTATTGTTTTATCGTGATAAGTCACTTATATTTTAACTTCTTATATCAAATAAACATGAAGGAAATTTCAAGTTGAGGCAAAGTAAACGTCGCTGGTGTCCTTTTTATTGTAGATAACACAAGTGGTAACTTCATGTCTAAATTAGTTTGGATGAGTCATATTAACACTTTCACAGGTCATATTGTAAAAATTGTCAGTTTTACTGGTAAAGGAAGACCCCAAGGCGCCAATTCGTACATTTTTTTTTTCATTTTTTGTCAGGCAAAAGCTGGTACCTGATCAGAACCGACGATGATCGGTAGGCTACCTGGTAAGTTCCACATCTGAAAGAAGATTCAAAATCTCTGACGGAAATTCACAGCGGTGAGCGCTGGAGCGGTGAGAGGCAAGTGGTACAAAGACTTTAAACCCTTGGACATGGACGCCCTAAGCTATAATTAAACATTTAAGAATACTCACTGTCTTCACACGCTCAACTTGGATTTGATTTTTTCCAGCATATGCAGTCACCTCAAACACGTCACTTTCGTATTGATTGTCAGCAGTAGATACCTGTATGTTTAGAAATATAGCACAACAGTTAACGGCAGATGAATATATACATAAGTTTTCTTACATTATCCATGCCCTTCTTCAATTAAGTCGCGAAAATATGTGAAATTTGCAGCTTTCAGACAGCACTTGCTTAACAAACGCGCAAAATCATAACACTGTTTAGTGAACTTTAAATAGCGGGTAAAATCTAGCAAAGTATTGGGCGTACTCCTTCAATCTAAATTACCTTTCACTGCTTGAAAAATCGTGATCTCTGTTTCATTTGCTTGACTTAAAGAAAAATGAAATTTTACAATCCTCCCGAAACTTACAGTAAAAGAGATTGTATTTTTGCCCTGTGCCGTTTGAAAGATACTCGTTGCCCGGCCGTTGTCGTTTGTTGTCACTTTCTGCTCTTTTTTGAATTGCCCATTTTCGCTCATTCTAACTAAAATGTCTTTGTCAGAAGTAGGTTTTCCGTTAACATACTGCAGTTCAACCTAAAAAAAATCAATTACAAAATTAATAAAATAATATCTTTTGCATCAAAAGAAAAAAATAGAATTGTTTACAGAACAGCCATACAATGTAATCTAATCTAATCCTTAGCTTAATATCTTTAATGCTGTGTAGTTGGGACAGTTTTTTGAAGTTTAAAGGTATTCAAATAAAAAATATAAAGAAGCTATCCACAATAAAGAGCCTGGTCAGACTACACGGAAGTGCTGACTGGATTGGGTCTAGTCTGGTGACACAGGCTTATTATAATTCTCGATTACATCAGGTTAAAGTTAAGGTTTTCAAATTTTGAAATAGAATATATACCAAAAGTGTAGAGAACACGCTCTTGGTTATGATTGGCTGATAAGATCCGCCGCAGTTGTCTTGGTCGCAGCTCCCTTTCCACTGCTGCTGCCAGGGCGGTCGGCGAGTCCATCATTTAAATTTCTGCTGAAAAACCTACGTCTTCAGAAAAAAGTTGAAGACACATTTACAATATTTATATCTTGTAACATTAACTAGTACATTTACCTTCAAATAATATTCGTAATCTGGACGGAAGTTCAGTTTTGATTTCGTGAACTTGAACACGTATGGATTCATTGTGAAGATGGTTCCGTCGTGACTTCGCGATTCCTCCTTTCCCGTAGCACTTTCATAAACCATTGCAATCACTTCTAGGCGTTTGTTGGAGGGAAAAGGTTTGCCTATTAGCAACGGGGAGTTCAGTATGTTATCAACTTCGATATTGAACTCTGTCACACTTCCATCAAACTGACTGATTTCAAGCTATAAAAAATAGAAAGCGAATTAATTCAACACTTAATAAGAGAAGTCATGTGTTTTCCATCAATTGGAAAACTTGTGATAATTTGTACTGCAAAATAAGACCGAGAACTTATAACCTATGCAAATTACCAAAAATAAGTAAAAATGTGCAAAAATAGCCCTTACTGCGTAAGTAACGTAGTAGTAATATGGTGATAAATTCTACAAAATCAGTAATAAATTGTACAGAGCATGTAAGTTTTTATTAAATCTTGAATTTTTCACTTTTCTTAAAATTATATTATTTTTTTCACAGGTTTGATTTTCTTAAAATATTTTGGTTCATCTGGAGGCATGCAACTTTAAAGTCTTCCCCTCCTTTGCCTCAGATATGCTATTATTTTTAATTCTCAACACTTTCTTTTCTTCTTGTTACAGGCACAAAAATACTCATTTGTCACAAAGATGATCAATCTTCTTTTTTTTGCTCCGTTAGCAATTGGAATTATTTTGTATCGAGGTCAAAATATTACATTGTACTTTGTTTATATACTGCTATCTTTACGACACACTATTGCACATTCAGGGCAACTTTTATCAGGGGGTCTTGTAAATGGATCGGTATGATATGCCTGTGTAATAAAATGTATAAAATGAATAACGAGAACGAATCAACATACCGTTTTTCTGTCGACATTTAGAATAAAGTCACTTTCTTTATTCTCCCCTTTCAATTTCAGCATAAGTCTTGCATTTCCCTGGACAGCCTTGCCGTAAACATATCTTTAAAGAAAAACAATTGCTTTTTTAAATGACATATCTTTTTTTGGGGGAAGTTGTTACAAATACCGCTATCAGCGAATTTCGAGCATTTCTGACGGAAGAACAATCGGCCTGTAAGCAAACTGGGTACCTTCCTCATATAATCTACAGCTCACATGATTGTGATGATAATGTAAATAATCTTATATTGTATATATGTAATGGTTTGGTACTATTGTCTGTCCATGAACTTTTGCCTGTTATGAATTAACAAAACTAGGTTAATAATAAATAAACCATTTTTGAAAAAGTAAGACAAAGTCCTTCTCGAGATTTTTCAGGAATGTTCTCTAAAGTGCCTACTTTTCTTGTAAACGCAAAGTTTGATGTCTCTATGGCAAGTTCCTGTTGTTTTGTACTAATACATCATATTCATGAACTTTAAGCTTCGTTCTTATTCGGAAAAAAATAACGTAAACTATTTCAACAAACTCAACGAACGCACCAATGACAAATTTTATATTTACAAAAATGAAAGAGTATATTGTATTCTTACTTGGCTTTAACAATGACAGTTATCGACTTTGTTGTTGGAAGGAGGAACTCAACGTCAACGTCAACGGTCACTCCGAACGTTGGAAGAACTGAAATCAATACAAATCTGTTTGCAAGAAATAGTTACCGATCTTTCAGGCAATAAGAATGCAGATTTTAGTACGAAGCCAATGTTAAGAAAGGCAACCTGTGTTATTTTTGCGCAGCCAATGAAAATGCAATTATTTAAGTACGTAACGAATAAAAAGAAGAAAGGTCCTGTGAAACAACAGAACAAAACAGCTAATGGTATATCGTGTAACATTATTTGAGAGTTCATTTTTACAATATTGGGCACAATTCTTAGCGGAAGTAAACGCTTTTTCTATATATTCATAATACATATGATAATACGCATGATGTAATAAAAAGAACAAATGTGAAAAATAAATTAAATAAAAACAGATTATTTACCATATTCCCGAACTTCAAAGAGGGCGTGTGACTCGGTCTCGAACTGAAAAGCAAACAAAACCAAGATGTCTATATCTCGCAAATATGGTATGCATTTAATGATTCATATAATACAATAACCCAATAACAACCACTCTGCCGAAATGACATTCAGCGTTCCAAAATTTCACCCTATAGCCTACCAACTATTAGGCCGCAATGTCAATCACTAGACCAAAATAAGAATTTCAACGTATACTAGGCCATAATGACAATTAATAGGTCATAAAGACAATTGCTAGGTCAAAATGAAAATCAATGGGCCAAAATGACAATAACTAGGCCGGAATGGCAAACATGAGGCCACAACGACAATCACTTTGTCAATATGACAAAGACTGAACCCAAATGAGTATCACTAGGCTTAAATAACAATCACTGGATTCAAATGACAATCACTAGCACGTGTACAAAGCAGGCCCTTATAATATACTGTCAACATTGAAGTATTTGCTAAATAAGTTTAACAAGTATATATATGTTTGATAATGATGTGCAATGACAATAAAAAGTAAACATTATATCTATTATCATTATCATACATATTATTTAACCTTTCTACCTGTATAAAATTTGACTAGCTTGTACGAATACTTTGATATTTGCACTTGTAAGATATCATTAATATCTAACCAGGTCACACAAATAATCTTAACAGTTACGACATTTGGTGAGTAAATGTTTTCTTAATTTTTGGGAAGCAATAAATATACATAAAGAAAGTTTACCTGTCCATCATAAAAGGCTCTTGCGGTCCAAATTCCCATATCAGGGTAAGGCGGAAGGTTGAAGTCATTTTGAAAGAATCCCGTTTCGCTCTCCTTAATCAACTTTCTTGCCATAGTTAAGTTTGAAGGACTCTGAAACGGTAAAAAGAGTTATTAAAATTAGCACATTCAAGGTAAATATTCTTATTGTTAACTTTTTTATTTTTGTTTTTTTTTTGTTTATAATAATCATTAAAACATAGACCTGGAAGTGTACTTGCACATTGTTCATCATTTTACATTGTGAGTTTTGTTGTTAAATGATTCTTGGCCTACTTTCACTTTGAACCCACATAACGAAAACAAACATGGCTAACAATGCAGAGTCACATTAAAATTGAGATGGATTTGAACAGAAACATATTATACAATATCAAATTAAATATAATAGTTAAACACATGTACATTTTGCATTAAAAATTTCCGTCAAAAGATAAATGAAATATATCTAATTTCAAATACACTTAGAACACATTATACAACACGTGACCCTTGTGCCAAAAATGCAAGTCAGAGTACTTTGTATTTGACATTCGTGGTTATGACACAGCACAGCAGTGAACTATGATTTCTTCTGGAAAATGTTCTGGAACAACAATCGAGAGCAATAACCATAGGAAATATGTGAAAATGCAGATTTGGTTTTAATGAATCTCTCTATTATGAAGAGTGTAGCGTATTAAGGGGATTCCGCATTGTCAGCCATTTTTGTTTTCGCTATATTGGTCCAAAGTGATTGTAGGCCAAAATTCATATAACAACAAAGCTCACACTGTAAAATGATAAAGAATTTGCAAATACACTTCCAGGTTTATGTTTTAAGGACGAATGTAAGCAAAAATATAAATGATCACAAAAAGATTATTTATCTTGAATGCTCTAAATTTCTGAAGATCAAGTACAATCTTTTTGATGCACATTTCATGAATGGCAAAATCCAGTTTCAAGTCTGTTTTAGTGCAGACAAATGCTTTTTTGCAACAAATACAAAAAACTTGCAAAACTCAATTCCAAATAAAGCAGTATCTCATGTCCTTCAAAGCACATGTCCTCCATTATTGTTTGTAAAAAAGTAGTGCAAGAAGGCAATCACCATTTATAGCCTTATGAACTACAATTAAAATGAAAATAGCATTCAAATTTTAAAAATTAATCTTTCTATTGTGTAATAGTAAAGTGTGTCTGTCTCTCATTAAACAAGAAATAGATAAAAGATGTTTATATCTCTGGTACTATTTTTACACATACCATGTTTTTGTCAAGGTCAGATAAACTACTTAACTTAAATTTAAGTTTTTGCAAGTTTATTATATTTGCTGCAAAAAATAGCATTTGTCTGCACTAAAACAGACTTTAAACCCATGAAATGTGCATAAAACTTTGTAAAAAAATGTACTTGGTTTTCAGAAAATTAGCACATTCAAGGTATATATTCTTATTGTTAACTTTTTTATTTTTGTTTACAATTACCCTTAAAACATTGACCTAGAAGTGAATTTGCAAATTTTTTATCATTTTGCATTGTGAGCGTTGAATTTTGGACTACTTTCACTTTGGTACCACTTAGCGAAAACAAAATGGCTGACAATGCAGTATCAACTTACGTTAGTTTATAAGTTTAAAGTATAAAGGGGCGAGTAATCAATATAAATTTAAGTAAAGGTAATGTTCTAGTTCTATCCCCTGGCCGATGGCTCAAGGAGAGCGAAAAACATAACATTAGAATGTTAATTCGGTATAATTATAAAAAGGTTGTTGGTTGACTCGCAGGCTAATACTGAATGTAAGCAACTATATTGAACGAAAATAACACCCTCGGCTTTTTGTTGGCCTTAACTGAAGAGGAAGAAAAAATATAACCTAAGAGGATAATAAATAAACAGCAAATAACCTTCTATAGGCTTTAAACAAAAAGGAAGAGAAAATAAAAAAGTATTCATGACGAAAGTACTCTCATACTTGAAAAACCCTTGAACAAAACATTTATGTGAAAGTACCTGACAACAAAACAGTTTAAGTGTCGGAAATTGCATCTTCATTTCATATCAGTCTATCATACTTTAAGTAAGAGGCCGTCACGGGATCTTCACAATTGAAAAAAAAAACGATGTCAACAACAAAAAATGTTGTATGTTACAGTGTCGACGTTCTTGTATAGTTTATTTACTTAAAAATTATTTAAGCGGTACTTCGTGATATGACTTTAGAACGCGTATTTGTATACGTGTATGTGAACATGCTCTCGTCTCATAATTATATACTTGTTCAGTTACCAATTGTCTATTTACAAGAATAGATCTGACTGCCCGACATTACAGTCAGCACTTAATTTACATGCGGGTCTAACTCTGTAAAAGTCATTCGCAGATTGCGCCTGTGCATATTACCGGTAAATATCGACTTATTTCGGGTAATATCTTAACATGCGAAGTCACTCTCTTATCTAGAGCCCGTAATGTAAAACCATTGAGAGGTTGATTTTTACATTTAAATGATATGCACTCAAGCTAAATAAAAGTTTTTAGTTGATACAGAATATATTTTAGTTCGATTGTGTAGGAAGCTATAAGCTTATGGTCACCCTTTCGAATCCGTTCCAAAAATCAACCAGTACTGAGTAATGAGTGTAAAGTTTCTTGCTCAAGGAAACAACGACTTGCCCCCGACGGGGTTTGAACATATGTGACTAAATAAATGTTTTTGTAATTGAAATGTGTAAACATATATATAACAATGTCATTTTACTGTGTTTAGGTTTGCTGAATGACTGTTAACAGATAAGATTGCTTTGATAAAACATTCAGTTATTATAAGGAGATTTATACTCAATATTTTTAAAATGTTCTCTTTGTTATTATGACGATACAGGTATTACGCCAATCTTTAAACCCAGTCAATATGGCCAGTAGATTGCGTAAACAATGCAAATCCTTGGTCAATTAATTGTAGGACAATTTTCTGTTGATTGTATAATTGAGGCATTTTGATAACGAGGTCAACAAAACTAACGATGAAGCATGATTGCACAATTGATGCATTTTGATATTGAGGTCAACACAACTAATGGTGAAGCATGATTGCACAATTGATGCATTTTGATATTGAGGTCAACAAAACTAATGGTGAAGCATGATTGCACAATTGATGCATTTTGATATTGAGGTCAACACAACTAATAGTAAAGCATGATTGCACAATTGATGCATTTTGATATTGAGGTCAACACAACTAACGGTGAACTATGATTTATAATTGATGCATTTTTTTATTGATATCAACCAACAGTGAACTACTTTAAATATATCAGGGCAAGATAGTTGCATTACTCAGAATACCTTTTATGCAAAATCTCTTGTTATATGACACTGAGAGTACGGACCCCTAGCAGCTTATTGCATATACTACCATTACTTTGTAAGATAGTGAACGGTGGTGGAACATTCAACCAATTTGCAGAGGAGTACGTCGTCGTATGTTCTCAGTTGACCTTCTAACGCAGAAATACACGCATAAAATATCTATCGTAACGTAAGCATTATAACGAAAGCCGAATTATGTCGTCAATTCCGGTTTCTTGTTAAACTTATATAAACATGGACTTTTTCTTTCACAATCATTTCTACATCTAAATAAAGTCAAGTGTCATCACATGTTTATACTTACAATAATATCCATGCCTACTTGCCAACCCTTGACAGCTTTCAATGATTCATCAAGTGCTAGAGCTCTTATTTTGACTGAAATAGGAAAACACTTTGATTTTTTAACATGCAGATCTATGTGATACTTGAATTCGTTATGCGCAAAATGAATTCAGCCTTGAAAACTTTCCACTGAATAATTGCGACAAAACAAGGTAAAATGTTGATAAACTATATTCTTTTAAATGAAATATTAAGCAATAACCAATAGAACAAAATGCGTAGTTTCATTTTACGTATTTTCACTTGTCTTGCTGGAAACAAAACTTAAAAGGGAAATCTTTAAAAAATTAAACATATATACCCTTTTGCAGGGGTGTATAGATCGGTTTGTCCGTCTGTACGACCAGGTAACCTGAATGATAGCTCAAAATAATTTCTCTTGATCGTTTCGTTCCTTTCCATTCCGAACATATTTTGATTTTCCTCGGCTTTTTCTCAACCACAGAGGTAAATATATCGTTTTCCGTGACTTTAACAGTCGTATAAACTGGTGTTTCTAAAATTCAAATAACAAAATAACATATATTCACGGCAATTGTGTCATATTATCAAATTAAATACCCATTATTCATTCATATTTGCGGGTAATTAATTAAGTCATTCCGGGTAAAAAGATGAACCCTGGTACCCACTCTTTAATATATGTAATATTTATCGGACAGAATTAAAGAAGGTTCAAATGTAACTGGATATCATCTAGCTAATTTTTTCCCCATTACAGGAGTTACTGTTTTTATATAATAAAATAATAATAAATAATAAATTTCAAAAGTAAATTTCGATAAGTTTACTCGCCTTGGTCTTTAACGGTGACGCTTTTCTGCGAAAATTGTCTGCCCTCGTACTCTAGCCAAACCTGTTATGGATAAATGAAAAACAATGAAACGAAACAAAATGCAAACCTTTAATACCAATCACAATTACATATGTTTATAAAACTTTAAACTAAACCTGCAAAAAGGGGAGAAAGAAGACATGGTATGTGATTTTATAAGGTTATTATACATTACAATTGTGGAGTACAATACTTATACATGTATCTTATTAATGTAAAGAATAAAATATCATACATGTACAGTTATTTGAAAGAAGGTGTGATATAAATAATGATGTCATAATAGAATAACAAGACATGAAATAAATACATTACCTTTACAAGTGAATTCTTTTCTCCGAAAACACTGACAACAACTGTCTCATCTTGGTCAAATCTTAACACGTTTGGGGCTGTGACAAAGTAGTAACCACTGAAAATATATCATAGCTTAAGATAAGTATTTATTTGTTATCAAAAAAACAAAAACAAAAAACAAAAAACACATGTCAATGTTTGTGGCTTACTGTTTTATTATTCAAATAAACGGTAAGGATCCGTCAAATGATTGGGGGGGGGGAATTGTTTAATTGCCTCTTTTGACATTTAACAATTGGCTATTACATGTATTAATAATCTGAAGTTTGACGGAAAGGGCCGAAAATTTTAAATACAGATCTATTTATAAGCATCACGTTTGAAAAGCGATAGAGTGGAAAAAGATACAATAATAAATAAAGTAAAAAATAAAATTAGAAAAGTTGAAAAATGGAACCTACCGAATGTTTTCCAAGCTTAAACCGGTACAAACAAACCTTTACCGTGAATGAATGCATGCATGGATGAATAAATGAATGAATGAATTAATTAATTAGTTGATCAATTAATGAAAAGTTAATTAACCCGTTGTCCTTATTTGAAAAGTTTAAGTATATTTTTGTAACCCCGGTTTTTGGGAAAGCCCAAAATATTCTTACTTTTAAAATGGATACCGTCCAGAAACCGATCATCTCGACCCTTACTAAACTGGTCATATAAACACAGAGATCATGATCACAGACGCTTGGGGTCAGATTCTACCCCTAACGTGATATGCCCTTGTAAACTCTCTTTCAAAAATATTTTAATATTTTTACAAAAATGGGACATCTGTTATAACGATAAAACTTGTTTTCAAACAATTTTTACACACATGGAAAAAAAATACCTGATACATGTACCATCAAAGTCTCAATAAAGTATTTTATAAATATTGAAATATTTTTTTAGAATGTTTACAAGGTCGTATCACGTTGGGTGGCAGGGTCTGACCCCCAAGCGTCTGTGGCTATGCACTGTTCGGAATAATGCAGGTTCAAGGGGCATACTGGTTGCTTGCCTCGTATATAATATATAACCATCTTTCTAATGTTTCGAAAAACATATAAAATGGCTTGTATACCAATTATTAATCGGTAAAAAATCGGATGCTTAGGAAAAACAACAACAACAGAAAAAACACAACAAGGACAAACAACAACAACAATAATAATAATAATAATAATAATAATAGGTAAAATAATAAAATAAATAGTAATAAAAAGTAATAATAAAAATAATACTCAAACTAATAATAATAATAATTTTAATAATAATAATAATAATAATAATAATAATAATAATAATAATAATAACAATGATAATAATTGTGATGATAATAATAATAATAATGAATATAATAGTGATGATGATAATAATAATAATAATGAATATAATAGTGATGATGATAATAATGATAATAATAATAATGATAATAATAATAATAATAATAATAATAATAATAATGATAATGATAATAATAATAATAAAAGATATCTGTAAGATTCCATTTTATTACATTTAAATACAAAAATAGGGGTATATAGACGCAGACATACTAAAGTACGGGTATCAAGTTTAATTTAAAAAAGAAATATTAGATGATGTTATTATTGTTGTTGTTGCTTATTTTTGTGTCCATTATCTAGGTTCTCAAAGGCCTATTACAACATGATAGGATAATTTTTTGGCTAATCTTGAAACAGATGTTAGAAACTTGATACTTCTAACAATTCCTTCGCATTATTAAATTTCTCTAATTTACTAAATGTTAACCTACTTTAAAGAAAAACGCACTTTTCTGAGATAAGAGGACCTGTTTGATATAACTCTCTTAAAACGGTTATATTTTCAAGCAACAGCAAACAAAAAAAAAAGAAAACAAAAAAATTAAAAACAACAACAAACAAAAGAAACAACAACAACAAACAACAAAAAACAACAAAACTATTCTATAACCGAATATTATTTGATTTGTTAAATAAAAAAATGATATTAAAGGCCCATTCGCTCCCTCCTTCCTAATGCAAAACTTTTATTTTAGTCTCCTGTTAAACTTTGAAGAAAAAAAAAACAAAACATAAATTAATAGGTCATTTATCTGAACCTTTTTTTTTGCTTCTGTTACATTCTGGCAGTTAGTACAGTAGGAATGATATAGTTTATTTTATATGGAAGGCATTTGCTACTTTTGTAACGAATTATTATATTACACGCTATTTTTGTCAAGTACCAAACATCAAACTTATAGTCAATCTCTTAAAACATCACTTAAACGACGTTATTGATATGCGAAAATGAAAAAAAATGTACCTGCTATGCACCCCCGAAACAACAATCCCTAATAAAAGAAATAAAAACAACATCATTTCGCCTCCACTGCTGGGCAACAAATGATTACTCTTGTAAAATATTCAGCATTTATCGTATGCAGCGTCCCGGATTTGAGCCAAATTTAGGACAAGTGCACTCTTTTCTGGGAAACCTTGCGCCGTAGTTTTGTTTAGGCCATTCATAACAATAATAGGTTCTACGGTAAATTGTTGATTGCTTTTCTTTTTTATAAAATCTAAAATTACTCTGAAGGGCGTGTTTTAAAGAAAATAACAATTCCAAATAAAAAATAAAAAATATCCTTAAATATTCCAAGTCTGTGTGTGCGCGTGCGTACGCGCGCGTGTGTATTTGTGTGTCTGTCTGTGTTTTCATTGTATAATAATTACAGATTGTAATTACAAATAATAGTTTGCTTAATTACACATTATTTTCAAATCTTGAATATAATATTTTCTAAATCATCAGTGACGAAATAGCAGATGAAAGTGCGTAGAGAATAAGAAATTGAAGCGTGTATAACATCTACAAATAACAAATGTGTAAACATGATATTTTTCACTGTTACTGAATATCAATTGTTTCTTAGGTAAATTTCAAGTTCAGTTAAATATTAATTCGGCATAAACATATGTACAATGTTCTTCGCCACAAGTATATGTTGAATTTAATATATAAATGTCTGTACTTGCACGAAAACTTCTCACACAGGTGCAATATTAAAGGAGAAGTAAATTTACATTGAAGGATAAATATCGTGCGCTCGCGTCGTTGTTACACCTTTTAAAGCAAAAACATGCCTCCAGATTCATGCTAATTTTGAAGATTCTTTTTTAAAAATATCAAAAAAATAAATAGAGAAATGTACACTGTACACATTGCAAATGGAACTAAAATCTACCAAAGTTACCAAAAATAGGTTAGGAAATAACCCAAACTGTGTCAGTCAAGCAGTAAAAAAAAACATAATGATAATTACAGCAAAATAAGATCTTAGCACAATATTTCCTTGAGACATTATGTCTCATATAGAGGCTAGCAGCTTTTACCTGTAATTAGGAATGCCATATAAATAGCTCAGTGCAATGGCGGCCCCAGTAGATTCAATTTCAAAGCAAAAATGACAAATGACATCATACTAGCACGTGCAAAGCATGTCAAAATCAATTTCTTAAAGATCCTGTATGTTTTTTTTGTTGTTGATTTTGTTACTGTGCGTAAACCACACTTGCAAAATATAATATATGTATCAAACATCGAAGAATATGTAAAATGTGTACTGCAAATATTTGTGCAAACTATATTTAATCAATAAATTACATGCATTCATTTCTTATTGGAAAATTTGGCTTAGAAGTTATAGAAAATTGATTTCTAATTACCTCCCTTTATTTACTTGAAATGTTAAATAGGGTTATATCTTTATAAATAATGCTGATTGGAACTTACAACATTGACAAATCTGAATTTGAGCATCATATTTAAGAAAAAAAACATGAAAAAATTGCGTTACAGGATCTTTAATACGAAAAACAAATAACGAAAATTGAAATGATCGAATCAGACGTATTTTTATGCAATAATAGCCCTAAATTAAATGCACATATTTTTGTTTTGTCCTTGGATTACCCTTAGACTTATTCAGGGGTGTTGGGATAACTTTTGGTCCTACCCTTTTGTTGTATGAGCGTGGTATTGATGCTTAAGATAATGATGTTAGATTGTGTAAATTTATCATGTGCAGAATATAAAATAACATACAACTAAACTAATCTATAAGACCTATCATAAAACTCGCCAAGCTGGTTTACGCTTAAAATTCTTCTTTGTGCTTTTGCAAATTTTGATACTGTGAATTCACTTAAGTTCGCGGAAATGGAAAATAACAACACAAAAAGCCAGTCGGCACATTGGCATTTTGATTCTGATAATCGATAGAATACTAAATTTGACTGACTTCTTAATATTTTGAGCAAGGCATATATGAATAAAAAGAACGAATAATTGAACGAACAAATACATAATTGAATGAATGAATAAATCAATAAATTCTAGTGAATGATGAATTACTGGATGAATGACTAAATAAATGAATGAATGAATGAACAGAAAGCCAACAAACAAAACACAACAAAAACAACAAATAGATATTCAAATAAATCAATAAAAATGCAAAACATTATCGGCATAGTTTTCTTTTGACTTTTTATTTCTTTCTTATATAATTTATCTTCAAATTATACCGATTCCCTCACGGGAACCAATGTGTAGTTTCCCATGATCCTTGAACTATCAAATTTCAGTTTTCCAAGATGTTTACACAACTCTGCAAGATCATTAACGCGTTTTACTTTTATTTATAAACTTCTTCCAAGAAGTTCTGAAAACTCTTATCAATAGCTGATTTCTGCGGCCCAGTGAAAAATATCCTTCGTTTTCATTCGCCAGTAGTGAAGCAGGTCATTCACAGGTTGTCGGAGTGTTTACTGTTTTATTTGTTTACTTGATTCCGACTGCTGGCCTTAGCCTTAATATCCAATTTAGTAAAGAGGCAATATGTTTTCTGAAAGGGAAAGATTGATGTAAGCGACCATGTAAATTTTTGAAATATATACTTAGTTTCTAACTTTAAACCTTTATTAAGTTTATTGTTTCATACATCGTTTGCGATAGTATTTTCTTTTGTATTGCATATTTTATACTGAACACAACAATAAACTCCCTCTGTGTTTAAGCGGAGATATAGTGTTATCTAAAGAAATGCGCTCCATATGTTCGGGCAAACAATTATATGTCCGATTAAACAAAATTTTAACTCGATTTTTTTTTCGTTTTGCAGGAGAAATCGGCTGAACACGATTTTCACGTGTATGCACGGACCAGTAGATTAAAGTAAATTTCAAGAAACCTTTCTGTGAAATTTTATAGACGTTCATGTTTATATGAAAAAGAAATGATTTTTTCCCCAGTTTTCTATAATTTTGACATGCCTAAAATTCCGCAAAATATACGCGCACGTGCCGTTGGCATGCTTAATGTTGGTATTATGATGAATATTGGATGTTCTATTCCTGCTATTCGACACCTTATGCAACATTTTCAAGCAACTGGGCATCGAAGACGATCGACCACGTAGTCAACGTCCACACGCCAAGACGCATGCCCATCTAACTACTTTTGGATTAACCCTCAGCAATAATTTTTGTCACAGAAATTGCTTTAAAATACTCTTTCAATACATGTAAATCTTCTTTATATTTGTGTATAAATGCACTTAAATACTTGAAAAGAAACTGTGCATTTTAATTTGAACCATATGTTTTACCAAGACATTATACAATAAATTGTTCTATATAGTATTTAAACAACAACATCATAAACAACAACAACAACAACAACAACAACAACAACATAAACAACAACAACAAAAAACAATATCAACAACAAAAACAAGAAAAAAGAAAAAACATTTGTATTGTAGTTGTGTTATACATGTACATAATTTTGGATAGCAATATTCGTAATACATAGTTTTCTGTACGAAATATGACTAAGATTGGTCCATGAATATAGATAAGATGAAGAATGATGCCTCGTTTGCATTCTTGTCGGGTCAATTTCATTTAACTTGAAGGTAATTGTTTTTGACTGCGTCATTCCGTGTACTGCGTGATTTTTGGTAAGAATTACGTTTAGATTTGATTTTTTGTTTTTGTTTGTTTCCGCGTCAAAGTATCTGATATTTAACCTGTAATTATTCTTTAACTATGTACATGAACAATAGTGTACATTTGTTATATACTTAAGGACAATGAAAACGCACGCTCGCTCTATATGCATTATATTACATGAAAACAAAACACTAGCAACTCCATTATATATTATAACTTTTATACAAAACGCAAACTTAACAATTGAAAATAATTCAAAATGTTTAAAATCAAATATACACTAGGAAATCGAAGAACCTAAGGTGAAAATCTTAAAATCACACTTTTGTCATCACAGTAATGCAAACTTAACAAAGGCAAAAACCAAAATGAAAATCCAAAAAGTCACTCATAAATGTCTTTTCGTAATGTCACCGTCGGGATCCTTAGACAATGTCCTCCATCAGCGTCTCTTACAGATGTACATCGTTGCCTCATAGACCTTACGGTGCGGATAGTCGCCTGTGGAATCTGACGCCATTCGGCCGGTAGTGTAGTGCGAAAACGCTGGTGAAGCAGATAAATTGTAGACCGATGGACACCAAAAAAGGTTGGCGCTTTGTTTGTAAGATAGACCAGTCTGAATCTGTGCTAAATCTACCCATCGGATATTTCTTTGTAGAACCATTGCATACAATTTGCTAGCAAATCTTCAGTACTTTAGTGTTTGAAATTTAGCAACTTTTATAGAGAAAAAGTGTGTACATATATATGTAATTTCTAATATGAGCTTTTACGATTTCTAAAACTGACCATTGGCATAGTGTATTATTCATTTTCATAAAGATTTTAATTGCTCATTTGTGTCTAACATTTCTTTTAAGGTGTGAAAAACAACAATCAACAGTTAAAAAATCATTTCATAAAGTAGCCATGAATTGGTTCAATCCGTTTTCTGTTGAGATCTGATCACAATTAGCCAAAAGTGTTACTTTTGATTTTTTGGGTACTGACTTTATCATGCAATAACTTCTTTAAAATGCAATCATTTTTCATAACTTTGGTATCTAAATGACCGGAATGCATTCGGTTTTATGAAACAGTGAAAAAATATTTAAAAGAAATATATTTTCCTTGTTAAAATGCAATTATCCCGACCGCGCGTTTTCATTGTCCTTAAGTATATATATCCTAGCTTAAGAATGGCTTTTTTACACTGTCGGTATTTTTTGTTGGCGGATTTATTCTCATCTGTTTTCAATTATATGAGCCGCGTCACGTCAAAACCAACATAATGGGTTTGCGACCAGCATGGATCCAGATCCGCGCAGTCTGATCAGGATCCATGCTGTTCGCTTACAAACCCTATAACAAGTAGAGAAACTGATAGCGAACAGCATGGATCCTGATCAGACTGCGCGGATGCGCAGGCTGGTCTGGATCCATGCTGGTCGCAAACGCATTGTGTTGGTTTTGTCATGACGCGGC